TTAAATGACGAAAAATTAGGTGTGTATTTACTTGTGACTACTCAGTGTACATTGCTTATCACGGCTGGGGTACGAACTTTTGCAGGTCTCATTTTTGGATAGTTCTGGTTTCACATGTTGATTCATATTTTTTTGTTTTTCAATTCCATTAAGTACAAGGTATACCAATCTTGGAAATTCTAAATTTCTGATCTGAATACATCTCTTTGAACTTAGTGAATGAATATTTTGCGTTAGAATAGGCTGTTATGTATCCTTTCCAAAAACAATTAATTTTCGGTGGCATAACACTACTTACGAATACTAAAAATTTTCAAAATATAATTCTAATACATTCAGTTTCATCGCAAGTTCATGTCGGTTGTGTTTGTTTTGTCATATGACTGTCTGATCTGCATATTCAAAATCGTTGTACTGAATTGTATTGAGCCATCTATAATTTCGCAGCAAATGTATTGTATCACAACTGTAAAATAGTAGAAAAATCTTGCTAGCTATAGAGCCCCCCTCTCACACACACATAGACATAGTAGCTAAACAGTCAATCTGGAAGTTTATAACGCTAAAAACCGGCCTTCGATACTTGTGATGGGCTTATTGTATAGCTTTGCGCTTAACAACAAACCAAACAACTGAAGAATATGGGAATAATTCATAAGAAAAATAAATAAATTTAAAATCATAAATAATATTCAACCAGTCATACCAGTTTAACGTTGAATATTATTTATGATTTTAACTTTATACACAAGTGCCAAAATACTATAATTAAATAGATTTAATATCAAGTTTTAGCTGATATAAATACGAATGTCTTTAAAACAAATCAAATATTTAATTAAACCATATAAAACGTCTTTGGTTGTAAATATGAATTAAATTTTCTTATTATTGCTGTTTTAGTATTATGCGATAGAAAATTAGACACGAGATGGCGACAGGTCCGTATGATATCTTTGAAAGAGAATCATGAATTTGGAATTGCTTGGTAAGTTTTTATTCATAATTTAGTTACTTTTGTTGAATATCACATTTCATTTTAAATATACTGGAGTTGTTATAAGCTGCTTAATTTCAAAGTATTGAAAGTTATCTTGAAAAATGTTGAGTTATTAGAATCTATTCCTTTTTCAAGTTCCTAACTAATATTAATAACAATAATAAATATATATATAAAAGTATTATTAATATTATATTAACACATATAATATATAAATACAGTTACTACAGTATTTATCAATTTCATGCTATTATGATTTATGGGGCCCGAAATTATTTATATCATTAGATGTTTAAAATAACGCTAGTGTGTAAATCACTAGCTCAAAAATGAGCTTTCATAAATTGTTTTCATTTAATGATTTACCTGACCTAGTCTATAGCTTGTTGAAGCTTGATGATGATAAACTGAATGAGGTTTTTCGATATTATGGAGTCGTTGTACTGATAAAAAGTAAATGCATTTGTTTAAGATTTGGTTTCAGAAGTGATTGATCTGTTGTTAGAATTACGTGTTATCTTGTGTAAATAGATACAAGTTACAGCCTTTTTAACTTAATAGTTTAAGTAAATCTGCCAAATGAAATTAACCACAAAAGTACAAAAAATGATTCTAATCAGAATACAAATCAAATTCATTTGCTTTATTAGCACATAATTTTTACAAGGCCTAGAGATATTGAAAACCTTGTCCAATACATTGTATATTAGTTTTAAGCTTCAGACTAAAGGCAAGATGAACTATGTTAATGAAATGATTGACAAAACCTTAAATTGTACCTATTAGGGTTATTATTAGAGTACAGACAGATTATATTCTGAATGCAAAGCTTTCAATTGTCAAATTTATGAAAATAATGTATTTCAATACAAAAATAAATATAAAAATAATTCGTATTACATCTATGTCTGAACAACTGAATAGATCTTGTTTTTGATAATCTTTGTAAGTTTAGGAGAAAAACCTTGAGTCATCACTTAATTACAATATTGATTATGTTTTTCAGTTGAAATATGGTTAATGTGACATGATATTTTGAGTTATTGTGTAGTTTAGTTTTGAAAGCATGAAGGGTAAAAGTAAATAAAAAGTAACTAATAACCAAAAATAATTACAATAAATGTAACAAACCTACAACCACTGCTATTGTTATCAGTTTATCTTTTATTTTAATGATGTCAATAGATTTAATCATGATTTTTATTGTTGTGTTTATTCCCACAAATTGGGGGAAAAAAAAGATGTGTACACAACTTTTGACTATCCATACATTTATGATATACACTTTTTAAATCTCTAATGTGCTAAACCCACCTTGTATAGAACTAACTTTATTTGAATATTTTATTGACTAATAACTACTGACAAAAAGAAGAATACGATAATGACCAGTCTATTAATATTAAAGTATTTAATTTTCCTTTCAGAGCTTTTTCAAATTTTGTAAATGTGGAGTATTAAATTCGTTTTTATTTTATGTGTAAGATCTGATTTAAATGCCACATTATGTAGATATATTTAATGGACTAGTTATATATATGTAGCTGTAGATCCATTTGTAATCAGCCTTTGTCATTTGGATTATGAGGCAATCTATTGGGTGCTTGGGATGGCCTGATGGTTAGAGTGCTCAACTCTCAATCTGAGGGCTGTAGGTTTGAATCCCTGTCATGCCAAACATGCTGATCTTTTTCGCTGTGGTGGCATTATAATGTGACAATCAATCCCACTATTCATTGGTAAAAGAGTAGCCCAACTGTTGGTGATGGGTGGTGTTGACTAGCTGTCTTCCCCCTAGTGTATCACTGCTAAATTAGGGACAACTAGTGCAGATAGCCCTCATGTAGCTTTGCAAAAAATTCAAAACAAAACAAACCTTTCTAGTGGGAATAGTGAAGAACAATGCTTTAAAAATGGCTGACGTTTATGCATCAAGATTGTATTTCCTTAAAAGTTAATAAGTAATTACATTATTACAGTTTTCATCATACATTAGTAAATTAGACTGTTAACTTTATATATAGTGTTTTTGAATAATCATAATTTTTAGTGTGTTTCACTATCTTTTTAAGAGGTACCCATTTAACTAACAAATAATTTGAATGTATTTGCACTGTAAATGTTGTACACGATCACGTCTTTGTTAGAGATGACACACTGTGGAGAAGTAAATCTCTTATCTCACAAATAGCTGTTTCAAAACTTCATATTTTCAGTGAAATCCACAGATTTCTTTATTTTGGTTACATTATTATGTTTTTATGGTTTCAAAGTATGAAGCTTTTCATAGTGAACCAAAATGAAATTGTTCAAATATTTATTCATTAATGTATATAAACCTAGTTTTGTGTTCATTATTTTAAGTTGTACTGAATGACGTCTGTAAAGCATTTTTGTTGCAATGAAAATTGTAATATATCTTAATATTTCAAATAAACTGGAAGTACTACGTGTTAATACTTTACATAAATGGGAGGTACTACATGTTAATATTTCATATAAACTGGAAGTACTACATGTTAATATTTCATATAAACTGGAAGTACTACATGTTAAT